TCTGGGGGGGGGGGGCTTGCCCTGGCGAGGCATGCCCTGGGTGCACGGGAAGGACTGGGGTGGGGTAAAGCTGCCAACCTCCAGGTGGGAACTGGAGATCTCCCGGAATCGCGGCTGATCCCTAGGCATCCGTTCCCCTGGAGGAAAAGGCTGCTCTGGAGGGTGGACTCCTGGGTATTTTACCCTGTTAAGCTCCCTCCCCTCCCCAAACAATGTTCTCCCCAGGTTTGACCTCCAGTAATGCCCCGAACTGGAACTGGCAACCTGGGGAGGGGGACGGATTAGTGGGAAATAGACCATGTTTGCATTCCAGGTTAGGGCAGGGCAGGGAAGCTAGAGATGCAACGTTTGCTGGAATTTTGAAGCTGGGGGTGGGGGGAACACCCCCCCAAAGATGGAAATCTGGGGGTGGGGGTGACTGAAATGATACACAATACTTACACCTTCTCAAGGAGAACAAATTGATTTCCTTTATTGATTGATTTCCTTCACGGTGTTTCCCCTCCGGAATTATACTCAAACAAATGGTGACCGTATAAAATAAGCTTGTTATTCCAGTTTGGTCCTTGAATCTGTCAGACAGCTTTATTATGCTGCATGAGGGTTACCAGAGCCAGTGGTTAGAAGAACCAGGTTTGATTCCCCCCACTCCTCCACATGCAGCTGCTGGTGTGACCACTACACCACGGCCAGTTTGGTGTAGTGGCGAGGAGTGCAGACTCTAATCTGGGAGAACTGGGTTTGATTCTCCACTCCTCCACATGCAACTGCTGGTGTGACCTTGGGTCAGTCACAAGTTCTCTCAGAGCTGTTCTCTCAAGGGCAGTCCTCAAAAGAGCTCTCTCAGCCCCACCTACCTCCCTGGGTGTCTGTTGTGGGGAGGGAAAGGGATTGTAAGCCACTCTGAGAGTCCTTCAGGTAGTGAAGGGTGGGGTATCAATCCAATCTCTTCTTCTTCTTCTTCTTCTTCTTCTTCTTCTTCTTCTTCTTCTTCTTCTTCTTCTTCTTCTTCTTCTTCTTCTTCTTCTTCTTCTTCTTCTTCCCATCCTCTTTTAGGCTCTTTTTAAAAAAACTGATGAAGATGTTGGGAGGTTAGGAATATTCGTAGCTCATAGCAATGATCACAGCTTAAATAGTAGGGGTATTGAAAATGAGATCTGTCATAGTGACCCCTTGCTTGAAGCTGTCAATCGGGAAATATGTCCTCTTTTCTAAGTTTTCAATATATAGTTACCCTGTGTTGTATGCTAATTTGCTGCTCACCCTCTCCCTATATGTATGCACCGGTAACTTCCACTTCAATGTATCTGAAGAAGTGTCCGTGCACGGGAAAGCTTCTACCCAGAATAAAACTTTGTTGGTCTATAGCAACATATAACACCTTGTCTTATCACATAACATTATCCTGTTTTGCATATTTATGAAATGCAAAATGCCTTAAATAAATACTAATGCCTCAGATTTGTACCAGCAAAATTCTCTCAGAGTGTGTGTGTGTGTGTGTGTGAGAGAGAGAGAGAGAGAGAGAGAGAGACCTAAACTGCTGCCCTAGCTCATGGATCTGTATGTTTGCTATCTAAGGGGAGGCCAGATAACGCACAAGCGTTTGGCATTTGTGCACATGCAAAGTTCCGTGGAGCAGCATCTTCGGCAGGACGCCACAAGTTGGCCACGGGTGCGCTACGCTTCCCGGATGTTGCGGTGTGATCGCGCCCCGAAACTCCGCCCAACACTCGTACCTCTTGCACAGCAAATTCTCCGTGTGACCCGGGCCATGGTACATTATCTGAATGAGCAAATCCGTATCTTAGAAGCTATTTCACTCATTGCAAAAAAAGAAAGAAAGAAAAATATTTCATGGGAATCCCCATTTTCCAAATCTTCTAGTTTCCCATTGGAAACTTTTTCTTTGAAGGTCTGGGTGGGAATATGTTGTTTCCTGGAGGGGTCGCCCCCCCCTTTCCTTTGTCTCCAGGCATTCAGTCTCTCTTTTTTGCTTTTCAAAATACGGTAACCTTGTGCTGTGTGCTAATTTGCATTCACTCTCTATGGGAAACTGATTCAGGCGGGTAGCCCCCTGTTTGTCTGAAGCAGAAAGAAGAAAAAGAAGGAGAGACACCCCAAAGGTGTCTCAGAGTGGCTGACAAACTCCTTTCCCTCCCCCTCCCCACAACAGACACCCTGTGAGGTTGGTGGGGCTGAGAGAGCTCTGACAGAAACTGCTATTTTTTTCAAGAACAGCTCTTATCAGAACTACGGCTTGCCCAAGGTCATCCAACAGGTGCAAGTGGAGGAGTGGGGAATCAAACCCGGTTCTCCCAGATTAGAG